CGTTAAATATCGCATTATGAAATAATTAATAATTAATAAATATGACGAAACGTAACACGAATACAAATACAAATAATAATGATTCATACAAATAATACGAATAATTAATAATTATTTTTTTAAAAAAAAAATTACAATTAATGCATCACGAGATGGAAGGTATGGATGCGCTTCGTGAGAGATACTAGCAGTTGTAGTTTGAATAATTTGTGCAGGTGGTTCAGTAGTCTCTTTTCCGCTCTCTTTTAAAGTATTAACGGTTCTTATAACATTGACTCGGCTTGCCTCCGCAGCATGATTATGATCTGTAACTTTTTGGAGATGGTGTTGTCCTTCAACCAACGTGGTAACTGCTCAGCCTTTACATTGTAATGCATCACATTTTTCACAACGCCAGTAATAAGAATTGTCACGATTTTTATTTTTGCACATAATAAAACCATGAATATTAATTTTGTCTTGACCGCGATTAGAAGAAACAATTTCATAAACAGTATTATTCATTTTTAAAAAGGTAGTAAATATATGTGATATGATTATGATAAAGTTATTATGATAGTTATTATCAAATTAACTAAGAAAATTTTATTCTGATGTCTTTGCGAATTATAGTTATATTTACAATGAAAAAATTGTCATGTAGACAACAAGCAAACCATACTCTTTCTGGGTATCAAGTGATTGGTAACAATAATTAATTGTTGATTTTAAAATTTTTAAAACCCATCTTTGTACAAAGTTTCGCCAAATTCCTTTATATTACAAATTAAAAGATGCGCAAAAATTTTGAAAGAAACACATTTCTAATTGTTTAATAAATCAGATATATTGTATACTCTTTCGAGTTAAAAAGTGATTGGTAACAATAATTAATTGTTGATTTTAAAATTTTTTAAAACTCACCTTTGTACAAAGTAGGTTTTCGCCAAATTCCTTTATAACACATTTCTAATTGTTTAATAAATCAGATATATTGTATACTCTTTCGAGTTAGCAAGTGATTTTAAAAAATTTTTAAAATTATAAAAAAATAAACAAAAAAAAAGTTTATAGAGCATGCATAGTTATGATGCTAGACAAAAATTGACAAAAATTAAAGTTTTATTTATTTATTTAACACGATATTATTATTAAAGTATACTTTTGTAATTAAAGCACA